AACAGGCTCTGGAAATGGGGGAATGGTGGAGTGGCAAATGGCCTTAGCATGGCAGAGGAGGCTGCAGGACACAGACCCAGGGAGGCTGCTTACCCACAGGACCTGTGACATTTAGGACTTAGAGGTTCCAAGTGCCATAGAAAATGACAATGAGTAACAGGGCTTAGAACAAGAAGACGGTTGAAAGTCTGTGGACAGAACTCCTGGATCCCCATGTATTTTATCCCAGCCCAAGTAGCAGACAATCACTTTCCTAGGCAAGAAAACAAAGATTTATTTTCTAAATTGATCAGAAAGTCTTCAAACTTAGAGGCAGCTTGCTGAAAACAGGGGTTCAGTGAGCATATGCAGGCCAAAGGATGAATTCCCCCGCTCCCTGCCCTGCTACAAGGGGACTGGAAGCCAGGAAAAGGAAGTAAGGCACATTGCATCTTGGAAAGATGAGCCCTATTAAAAATATCTGTTGATACATGAAAGCAATTCAAACCATAACTGCATTCACCCTTCCAGACACCCACTCTAGATGGAAATAGAAAGTTACCTGAAAACATTATTCAAAATTTCATACTTCACTTTTGTCTCTTCTCTCCCTGGATGAGTTTTCTGTCAGCCAGCTGTCAGTTCCTACTGAAGGAAATCAAAGCTATTCAGAGTTACATAAACACCAATAACTTGTTACATGCATCTTTCCCATTTGGAGTCTAGTTTTTAAATTCCTTATTAAGAAATCCCTACAATGTTTGCTCAGTTAGTCATATCTCACTGATTATGAGTTTGTAAAGTGCCTGGAGATTCTATGCACAGCAACCCTGTGTGTGTCTGCCTGCAGGGCTGAGTCTGCTGCGCAAGGACTGCTGGGGTTGGAAGGGCCTCGGCACTCACTTGGTGCAGATGAGGAGGCTGAGAAAGGAAAGGTGAGGGCACTCTCCCAAAGTCAATCATCTTACTCACCTGCTTGCCAGAGGTCAATTCATGTTTGTGTCTTTTATCTCAATATCGCCTTGCTTCTTGGATGGCCAGCTTCCCACGGAGTAGGACTCTGTTTTGAGGGCCTGATTTGTGTGTTATCTCACATGGCAGTGCTGCATGAGCTGAGATGCTTGCAAAGCCATCTTGGAGATGATAGACCAGGCCTTTCTTGTGGCTTTTTGTCCCCATGCCACCCCCAGTTTTCCTTTCTTAAGACAGAAAAGTGGCTGGGCATGGTGGCTTATGCCTGTAAACCCAGCACTTTGGAAGGCTGAGGGGGAGCGGATCACCTGAGGTCAGGAGTTTGAGACCAGCCTGGCCAACATGGTGAAACCCCATCTCTACTAAAAATACAAAAGTTAGCCGGGCATTGTGGTGGGTGCCTGTAATCCCAGCTACTCAGGAGGCTGAGGCAGGAGAATCACTTGAACTCAGGAGGTGAAGGTTGCAGCGAGCCGAGATTGCACCACTGCACTCCAGCCTGGGTGACAAGAGCAAGACTCTGTCTCAAAAAAAAAAAAAAAAGAAAAAAGAAAAAAGAAAGAAAGAAAAGTTATTTTCCTTTGAGCCTTTCACTCTGCCTCCAAATAGGATCCACGCTTCCTCTCATAAAGTTCATCATCTGGCCATGGTGGGGCAGAACTTAACAAATGGGTTTGAACTCAAAATTCAGCCCATCACCCTTGCCTCAGTCCCTGCCTATGCGCTGCCCCAAAGGTGATTAGAGACTGCTCAGATGAGGCAGCAGGGGGCATATCAGGGTCCTGGGCTCCAGCTCTCTCCAAGTTACCAAACTCTGAGAAGTCATTCTTAGCCTTAGTTTCCTCACCTCTAAAATGGGCACAATATCTACTTTACAGTAGATGATTTGAGGATTTTAAGATCCGAACACACTTGCTACTTAAGAATTCAATGAATGTCCATTTATAAACATGCATCACCAAATATAGGCACTGCATACAGGAATCCTCAGGGCTGGTGGGGTCTGACAATGGAATGCTAGGTTCCCTATACCAGCGAGTTCTCCTTTTGTGAGCATGAGAAACACATGGAGCACCTACTAAAAAGAAAATTCTAGGCTCCACTCCCACATACTCCATGGGAGATGCTTCTAATGCACACTTGGAGAAAATCTGAGGCAAATTCTTCATTCCTCATTCCAGGCCACTTCCTGTTTGCTATGGACCCCTGCCTCAGATTCACACAGAACTGCCTCCGTCATTACTTCCAAGTGGTGTGATGCTCAGCTCCCCTGCAGGAGTGAAAGGCAGAGACAGATGGCTGCCACAGCCTAGAGACGGGTCCAGGGAGTTCACAGGTCCCAGAGAAGACCACAGCCTTGAATTAGTAGAATGGGCCAGGAGCCGGAGGTTTGCTGCCCTGCCTTTCCTAGACGGGTTTGAAAAAAACCCAGAGTCCTAGTGGACAGCCGAAGACCAGGAGGAAGGCCAGCGGCACTGGAATAAGGCAAGCCTGCCTGCCACAAGCAAATGTGTATCTCCTCCCCACCCAAGGAAAGGGACAGAGACAGAATAAAAGATGCATCTGAGGTCGT